CTACCACCACCAGTACCATGTATGAGCCATTATTATATACCAAGTATTGTGTATTATTTCTATTTAGCAAGATAAAAAATGGAAGCCTAGACAGGTTAAGTAGTTTATTAAATGTAATTTGCACAGTAAGTTTTTGTAGTTTATCATTAACTGTAGTTTAGCAAGTTATTTGATATTGTTTGGTGAACAGTAATTCCCAGAGTGTTTTTATGTTGGAAGTTTTCTCTTTTCAGAAAGTTATTTAGATGTTAGAATGAAAAATATATTAAGCACTTACTAAATTTTATTTAATATTTTGTGTTTTAAGGAACTGAAATTACCATTCACTTTTTTAAGTGGACATATACATGAACTGAGGATCCATGTACCATGGACAAAACTGGGTTCAGAACCAGTGGTAATTACCATCAATACAATGGAATGCATTTTGAAACTTAAAGATGGAATACAGGTAAGAAAGTATTGAACCTAGTTATTTATGTTAACCAGTTTTGATAGTTATTAGTAGTTGATATTTAACTTTTGGAGTATGTCAACATAAACAAATCTTAGCTAATACACTTTTTATTACATACCTATTAAAGTAACATAATTAATTGGAAAAAGGTTTTCTTTTAAAAAAATTTTTTTATTGAAGCATGGTTGATTTACAATGTTGTATTAGTTTCTGGTATACAGCAAAGTGATTTGGTTGTACATACATATATTCTTCTTCATATTCTTTTCCATTATACATTATTACAAGATAGGAATATAGTTCCCTGTGCTATGCATAGTAGAACCTTATTGTTTGTCTATTTTATGTATAGTAGTTTGTATCTGCTAATCCCAAATTCCTACTTTACCCCTCCCTGACTTTCCCCTTTGGTAACTGTTTGTTTTTTATATCTGTGAGTCTGTTTCTGGTTTGTAAATAAGTTCACTTGTATCATATTTTAAGATTACAAATGTAAGTGATATATGGTATTTGTCTTTTTTGTCTGACTTCACTTAGTGTGATAATCTCTAGGTCCATCCATGTTGCTGCAAATGGCATTTTATTATTTTTTATGGCTGAGTAATATTCCGTGTGTGTGTGTGTGTGTGTGTGTGTGTGTGTGTGTACGTACAAAAACCATGTTTTTATTCATCTGTCAGTGGACATTTAGGTTGCTTCCATGTCTTGGCTATTGTAAATAGTGCTGCTGTGAACATTGGGGTGCATGTATCTTTTCAAATTAGAGTTTTCTCTGGATATATGCCTAGGAATGGGGATGCTGGATCATATGGTTACTCTATTTTTAGTTTTTTAAGGAACATCATACTGTTTTCCATTGTGGGTGCACCAATTTACATTCCCACCAACAATGTAGGAGGGTTCCCTAAAAGGATTTTCTTTAATTTGGATAAAATATTCTTAAGGTTATTTCCATACTAATTATACTTAATCTGATGATAGGGATTATGTATATTACTTATTACCTATAACTACTAGAAATGGAGCATGATAGCATCCAATTTTAAGTGAACTTTTTTGGATTTTTGCAAAGAACTTGTATACTTTTTATTTACATGGCATTTCTTAATGAGATGAAAATTTTTCAAGTCATTTGTTGAGAAGATGAAAATATGTTCAATTTGCCTTCGTACTACTTTTCATTGTCTTTGAAGTTTTGTCATCAGAAACTGTTTTTTTCTGGCTTACTTCTTCTCTGGCCCATGTTTCTTTTCAGTGTTTTTTATTAGGGATGATACTGATTTTAAGGAGTTTCTACCAAAAATTTTCTGATCTAGGAAGCAAATAGCAGCATATTGTGATAAATTTTTCCACTTTTATCTTGTAGAAAAGTAGTATCTTTGTCTTTCATTTTTATTACTTTTTCCTTAGCCCATATTTAACTTTAAGTTTTAAGGAAAAGTTTCTAGAACCAAGTGAATTGATGAGTATTATTAAATTTTTATCTCTGTGAAATTAGTTAAGGTTATTAGTGAATTGTTAAAATAATTTCCTGTTATCAGTAGATCCTTTTAGTGTCATACGAACACACTGGGCTCAAATCTTTTTTTTTACTTTTGTGAAATCTCTAATTATAAACCTTTATTATCCAATTTAACTGAAATATTGTAGCTCTTGAAAGTAAGTGGACCCATGGTATATTCTCGTTAAAATTTACTTTGTGACCTTCAAATAGTTGGGAAATTGATCCAGGAATCTGTAGATAGTTATAGTGCAAGAAAGTTTTATTTTACATTTATATTTAGTAATACTTGACTGGTTCTTAATCATCATCTGTTCTTGGAATTTAATTTTTTTTAAAAAGTCTGGACTTGGTTATACCACCCATGCAGTACTCCATATTAAGAGGAAAAAAAAATCCAGACACTAAGTATTTTTTCAGTGGGAAGGTGGAAATTTCAAGGCCAGATGTCCCATAAGAAACACATTTTAAGAGGCAAATTACAACTAATTATAGAGGCTGCAGAAAAAGATTTGTAACACATGACAGTGTAACCTAGAACTAATATTTGATATTGGACCATGCAGATGGCTACTGCAGGAATGATCAAGTTTCCTGCTTGCATGGTATTTGAGACTTGAGTTTTGTGGTGTGTACAGCAAAAGGTCAAGTGTCATGAGTGTAAACCACTCTCAAAACAAGTATTTTTTACAGATGTTTAAAATTTTGAGGTAGAAGGGATTTTTGAAAATTACAGTTGACATTTGGACAAATTATTGAGCAGTATACACCCATGGATTGTAATAACTTGAGTTTATGCTAGTGATTGGAATTAATTTTTCAGTAAAAACATTATAGATGAAACATTTTTAAGAAGTTTATTTTCCTATTTTAAGCTTTGATTAGTATAGTAGGAAATTATGTTTACAAATTACACATGTACTAGTAAAACTCAGTAAGCCCATATTTATATTACTTTGAATTATTATAGACTCACAATGAAGAAGTCTTAATTTCTAAGTAAAATTAGTGTGGGATGGTAGGTTAAATGAAGAGGTGTTTTACAGTTATAGATCTGAATCTGTTAAAAATAACACTATTAATGTATGAGAATGTAATATAATTCTAAAGTTAGAAATCTGAGGTTTATTCAGAAAAGATCATTAATCATTACAAAAAACCAGTATTGCTAAATGCCTTTGATAAGAAGGCATGCCTAGTTTGTAATTTGTAAAAAATTAGTTCGTAATTTGTTAAAAAAAATTAGTTTGTAATTTAGTACAAACTAACTAGTTTGTAACTTGTAAAAAAGATTTATAATGATTGTGACTCTTGTGATAATAGTTATACTGCCTTCACGTGTCTTTGTAATCATTTTTAATTATAGAGATTATTTTTGATGTGAAGGTGACCAAGTTGTGTGGCAAAATGAAGTCACCTTGATGTTCACTGTGAATTATTTTAATATATTGTTATTTTACTTAGAAAATATTAACTATTTGCTATTTATTCTAAGAGACATCTGTGTCAGTCATGGCTACCTTGAGATCCTGCAGATCTGTCTGTCTTTTTCTTTTCTGGGCTTGAGACACAGATTTTGATTCATGACACATTATCACTAGTGGTCCAGGTCTGACTTTATTTAACTACTTTCGTCCACATTAATCTAATCTAATACTTGTGGACCCAGCACCCAGCCCAAGAATGAAATCATTACCAGGAAGTTACATTTAACTATGTGCTCCTCTCCTTTTGTGTATTCCTGCTTGTTCAGCCTCTGTGGGCCTCATCTGTAAAATAGGACGAGACTTGCTACATAGTTCTTTTATTCTGTGATTGTATATGCTTTCTCTGCTCATAGTGTTAATAAGTCTTGGAAAAAACTTCAACCTAAAGAGAGTAATAAATTTATTTTTAAAGTACTTATCTATTCTGGTCTTTGAATCAGCTATGAAGTAGACTTTCAGAATCTTTTAATATAATAATATGTAAGGCTGTTCTAGAAGTAATGCTTGTTATTAAAAAAATTAAAAAAAATCTTTTGAACCTAAACTAAAACTTTAAAATTCCATTCAAAACTTGAGATAAAAAACTAAGCTTTTTGTTAATGTATGTGCTTTTAAATCCTGGTTAGTGCTTGGGGTTACAGAGCAATCTTGACTGTCATTTCCTTTCATGTTTTGGGGCTATGAAAATTGGTTATTGGCTTAGATAGTTGCTAACACAGTAGAGAAGTATCATATCCTATCTTTGAATCTTGAGCACTGTTAGTGTGTTAACGCTATAGGAAGCTAGAGGAAGTATTGGTAAGGCTATTAAGAATATTTATATGGCTTTAAAAAAAACACTTTAGTTCTCTTAAATGAAGCTGGATTAATCTGGTTAACTGCTGCTGTGGTTTGAATATGTCCCCTCAGAATTCATATGTTGAAATCCCGTCCCCCAAATATGATGGTATTGTGAGGTGGGGCCATTGAAAGATGCTTAAGTCATGGGAGTGGAGACCTCATAAATGGGATTAGTGACTTTTAAAGAGGCTCCAGAGATCCTAGCCCTTCCTGCCAGGTAAAGACACAGTGAAAAGGCACTGGATGTGAGCAAGAAAGAGGGCCCTCACCCGACCGTGTTGGCACCTTGGCTTTGGACTTCGCAGCCTCCAGAACTGTGAGAAGTAAATTTCTGTTGTTCATTAGCTACCCAGTCTGTGGTATTTTGTTATCTCCCCAAATGGACTAAGACAGCTATCTTTTCAGAAATTCGGATAGGGCTCAGAATTGTTGATTAGGTTGTGGAATTTATTGTACTATTAATGATTCTTTCACTTGCACTGCTCCAGGTTAGTGACGGTGACGATGATAATAGCAGATAAGGTAGTCTAGATTCTGTCTGTAGATTCCATACGTGAAAAAAGAGAAGCAGAGTTCCCTATAAATTATGAGTAGTGTCTTTATTCCGACTAGAGAACCCCTTTATGTTGGGTGCATAAATATTTACAAATGTTACATCCTTTTGTTGCATTGACCTGCTTATCATTATGTAATGCCCTCCTTTTTCTCTTATTACAGTCTTTGTTTCAAAGTCTATTTTGTCTGATAGTATAGCTACCCCAGCTTTTTTTGTTTCCACTTGCACGGAATATCTTTTTCCATCCCTCTGTTTCAGTCTGTGTGTGTCCTTATATCTGAGGGGTTTCTTGTAGGCAATGTATAGTTAGGTCTTGTTTTTAATTCATTCGCCACTCTATTTCTTGTGATTGGAAAAGTTAGTGCATTTACATTTGAAGTGTTGATTGATAGGTAGATACTTGGTGCCATTTCGTTTTCTGGCTGTTTTGTAGTTCTTCTCTGTTCCTTTCTTCTTTCTCTTTTCCTTTGTGATTTGATGACTTAGTGGTTTGCTTAGAATCCTTCCTCAGTCTTTTGCATATCTACTCGAGGTTTTTGCTTTGTGGTCACCGTGAGGCTTATATGTAACAGTATATGTTTATGATACTCTATTTTAAATTGATAACAAC